CATGGACAATGCTCGTGAATACTTGGCAAAGGTGTGAAGTTCCTTGATGGTGAAGTTCCTTGATGGCATTTGCCCCAAGAAGGATCGCGCAATGCTGGCTCCAGGATTTGACATCAGAGACCATCGAGAGCATGGCGTTTTGGGGGGACGCTGACGCCTTAGCCGTCCAGACGTTCGAAAGGATTTGGAGGACCTGATGCAGGAGGTACCGGACCTCCATAAGTCTTCATTCAACAGTGCCAACAAAGGCTTTCGCAAAGGCGGCTCCAAGGGGAAGGAAGAGCTTCTCCAACGAATAGCGCGAACGCACTGCAAGAAATGCGGAGCTCGGTCACTGGAAGGCTGAATGCCCCAATAAAGCCAAAGATCAATTGAACGTGGTGACCGAGGACATCAATGAAGAGACCAGTCAAGTTGTGTTCGAGCCTTGGGACACTATGCACGAGACCCAGGTTCGTTTGGACAAAGTGTAGGACAGATATCAGACCCAGAATTGTCATCATGCCCTGAACATGCATTCGTCGTAATTCAAAGAGCCTATATACATTTCAATCGATCCATCAGGGGACCTAAAAATAAAAATGCAACAGTTTTTTGCAAGCCGGTTGAAGCCTCCGCATTTTGCCAGGCAATGCATCGAGCATCAGAAGCCCGCGAGCTCCATCCAGATATTTCCCAGCTGCACCAGTAAAGTCGGAGACGAAGCATTTGATGCCAAAGGATTGGCCATCGTTGACACAGGTGCTAGCCGAAGCGTCATTGGGAATGAAAGCCTTCCCAAAATGATGCAGATGTTGGATCCAAACACTCATGAACGAGTCCGAGAAAAGCCAAGCCGCATTGGATTTCGTTTCGGTAACAACCAAATAGAATACAGCTTTAAGCAGATTTGGATACCTGTAAGGAGTGATACACATCAGATTTGGCTAGTCATAGAGGTCGTTCCAAAGGCCACACCGTTTTTGCTGTCCATTCAAACTTTGCGCAAGTTAGGAGCTGCGCTTGATCTTCAGAAGAATGCTTGTTTTTTTCAACAATTAGATCGGGCCATCCATCTAAAGCAAGGTAAGACAGGACTGCTCACGATCAGCACGCTCGACTTGCGCAAGCCTCCTCAATCGTCAGCCCTTGTCACATCAAGAGTCGACGATTGCTCGGAACGAAAATCATTCGAGAGCCATGCCCGCTCGCAAGGACGTGATGGAGATGATGAAGGAAACAGCAGGCAGTGATGCAACTGCTGAGGATCCTTTTGACGCTCCTGATGAACCAAGCGCAGACTCAGGTGGAGGAGCATGGGGAGCAGATGGTTCCCAACGAGCATGCCTTGCAGCTGCAAACGCTGATGCAGAAAGTCCAGAGTCAGAAAGTCATGCTGCAAGAGATCTCAAAGAACCTGAAGATGACCGGGACCACGTCCCCTTCACATGCCCACCCGGCCTCCGAATGGTCAGACCTGTCAGAGCGAGAGATTAATCGATGGGAAGACGAAATGTTGCTCCCACTGGAGCAACTGGCGTCCGGTCCCGCATGCCCGAGACTCCGCCCAAGGCTGTGGGCAGTCCAGCAGGAGTCATGGCAAGCAAAGAGACAACTGCAGGCGGGGAATTCAATGCCCCCGATGGACAAGACTTGGCCTGGACACAAGATGCGATGACATCCTGGGGAAGGAAAGTCATTACTTGGGGAAAGAAGCATCCCGGAAAGATGTACTACCAGGTCTACGAAGCCGACGATCAGTATGTGAATTGGTGCCTGAGCCGAATCAATTCATTGAACACGCCAATCCTCGGGATCTCACCACGTTTGCGTGGCACCAAAAAAAGAAGCAACCGCCCACCCTACAAACTTAGGACCAAAAGCCGATCGCCCTCCCCGTTCGACTCAACGGACACCGGTGCTCTTTGTTTTCTCGCTTCTGGAGTTGGAACAAAGTCAGGCATTTCATGCCTTTGGGAACGTCAGCCATGGTATCGCATCTGCCCCTTCCTCATTTTCGCAATCGGATCAGAAGATTGACCCCTTCCTAGGGGTTCATCCGACCACCTTTTAGAAGGACATAGCCGCCCCGACCTAGTGTTCAAAAAATCAAGGACATACCCTGTTTTCACGGCCACAGCCTGATTTGCACGGTTTACACGGTTTACACGGCCACAGCCTGGATTTTGGCTCGGTTTACACGGCCACGGCCTGGATGGTCACGGTTTGCGCGGCCATCCTGGATTTTCACGCTGTTCACGCCAAATGGCTTTGACGCTGTTAGCTCGTTTCTTGTCTTTGCCGCGCAATCACGTGTACACCAGCTGATTTTCTTGAAGCTCCGCTGCCAACTGTATAGCCAGCTGCAATTAATCGCTTTTTCCTTCCAGCTAGGGCTTGGGGTGCAAAGATCATGACATACAGAGCCTCTAGTCAAACCATGGCACACGTGACGTTTTTCAAATTCGGGTCACGTTTTCGATGAAATGGCAGCGCTGCCACCTACGCCAAAAAGTAAAAGGCTTCTATGGAAGCGAAATCACAAACAACAACAACTAAAACTCTAAACGATTCATTTAAAAAACACGCCGGATACATGCAGATTGTGATTTTTCATTTTCACGTTTTACACGCCGTTTTCATGGCCAAGAGCGTTTTTTCACGGCCTTTTCACGGCAAATTTTTTCTTTAGTTTCATGAAACTATGAGTGAAATCTAGCGCAAGCCTCGCGGGAATATACATCTAACCGTCTCTCTCTTGCGCGGACCCCACTCCACCCGCCCATCCACAGGCCAGATTTGGCAGTCAATCAAACTTGCGCGTGGCTAAAGACCACATCTCAATATTTCAGCTACCTAGCGTTGCGCCATCGAATGAAATAGACATTCCTCAGATATCGCACGCAGTTTAGGCATTCCCCTTCGCTTGCATTTTTCGGGACCCATGTGCATGAAGCGCATCTATAGTTGCTATTTATGATACATTCATGCCTCTCGAGATCTTCGACTTGCATTTTGACTGCGCAGACTTGCAGAATCTGGTGGGCTGTAGCGGGCGCTTTTCTCGCTGCCTCCTTGCAACGCATTTTTGTAAGCATCGCTGTGGAGGAAGCCAGCGTAAGGCAATTTTATCGCTAGAGGCCTGTTTCAAGGTCATACGGCGATTTCATGGTCACAGGCCTTTTTGGAGGTCATACGGCCATACGTCCTACGTCCTCCTTTTTAAAGTACAAATGAACCTCTAGGTTGATCGTTTGCAAACAATGGCTTCGCTGCAAACTTCCTTGCCTACTGGCATCAAGCTGCGCAGGACAGTCAGAGGGAGGTCCTCGAACTCAGCGTAGATTCGTCGGCCGACGCCAAAAGCGGAGAAGTCCTCGTTTGTTAACGCATCTGCCTCCGCATTAAACTCTCTCGGGACCCACTGCAATGACAACGCTGCGCCAACACTGTCCAGTTGCATCGCGAGCTCCATACAACGTTCAAGGGGTAACTTGTAGACATATATATAATTGTCTACTACAAACGCCATGGCGCGTCGGGGCCAAACAAACAAATTGCGCACAACACTGCAGCAAGTTCCAGTGCGGCTATGCATCTGAAAGCCTCCCCTTTCGCAAAGGCCCAGGGCGCAGATGCTCGCTAAGCCATCTGGGCACGGGCGGTGGGGTTTTGTGACCACTACCCAGTCGCCCTGCGCTTTGGCATCTATCCGGAAGACATCGCTGACTGTGTATGGCAGAGCCCTTGCTATAGGACCATAGGTGCACGCTTCACTTCCCCATGAAGAAATGCAGCAACAATCTGATTTCAGCTGGCATCTTCACCACAGCATCTGCTGGTAATTTTGCTACCCAGGCAAGCCAAGAGTTTTCCCCACGCGCCAGAAGTAATCCATCATCAGCAAAAAGCAAAGGAAACAACGCGGCTGCTTCGCGCGATAAGTAATGACCCAGCCTGACCACTGCCGCCGCCACACGCTGCCAATGATATGCCGCTGAGGGTAGCCCGAACGCTCCCACTGTATGCAGGTAGATTACATCAGGATTGTCTATAAAGAAAACGCCTGATATCCCCAATCTTGTCGCTGCGCCGGCGCCAGTTTGTGCGCATGGGCAACATCATATATTTGAGTGCAAACCGAGGACCTGGACAGTGTTCTTGGCCATCCCGCATTCCTCGCAACACCGCGTCAAGGTCATCAATTGCTGGAAACCTTAACCTGTCTTGCACTCTGATGCGATTGTTCACTTCAACCTTGTGCGTCGCATCGTGGATAATCCTCACAGCAGCAGATCCCACTTCCTTGGGCACAGCTCCCAAGGACGCGACTGCCAGGCGACTTCCAAATTTCTGCTCTGCTTCCTTGCGACTCATGGCCACCACAGCGCCTCGCTCAAGCTCTTCATTTATCTGACGCTTGATGTCTGCCATGTTCTCTTGCGCTGATTTGTAGTTTTCACAGGCGACGCTCTCGAACTCCTTCTCGATGTACGGCAGAGACCACTTTGTCTTTCGCTCGAAGACTTTGGGGACCCTTGCTTTAAAGCTATGTCGACACCGAGGCGCACGCCTTCTGCTGCAAGCTCATCCAGAAAGGCGCAATCCAGATCTTCGGTCAGTTGCAGAAAGGCACGCAGACGGCGATAGTCGATCTCAGTTATGCGATCGCCTTCGTGCCTGCATGAGTGCACACCTTGCTCTTTCAACTTTGCATCTATCAATTCCCGCTCTGCCCGCATATGCTCAAGCCCAAAAGGAGATTCTGCAGCTTTGCCCCCCAGCCAGCTGCCAAAATGCTACCCGCGGGTCTGTTGCGCGCAGCCAGCGCAGAAAACCTAATTTCACTTGCAAGCGTATTTGGTTGAAATCAGTTGAAATCGACTGATTCTGGATACAGCCTCTTTTCCAGCGCCCACCTGCCTGGAGAACAAAGTCCTCCACCATCGGCGCTCCATGCCCCCAAAATCCAGCCACTTCAAAGGTTGCCACCTTCCTGCTCAGCAGCATCACTTTCCTGCTCAGCAGCCCTTTGCAGCACATCGCCCCCGCTGAAAGGCTGCGGGGCTGCGGGAAGCACAGGATCTAGTCACTCCCCAGCGCGATCCTCCATTCCAGCGCGCTTGTGCTTGCACTGGTGAACGCTTGCAAATGTGAGCAAACTTGCACCCCTTTGTTTTGCAGCCTCCGATCTTGTTGAACTTGAGCGTGTCCCGTCCGGCCTGCGAACCTTTGCCCTTGCCCTCGCCTTTGCCACTGACATCGCTTGCAGCTGTCTCAAACTTGCCCAAGGTAAAAGGAATCACAAAATGAGTGGTCAAGGCCTCAGGCGCGGAGATGGCTTTCGCCAAGGCAGTGGCCAAACACGGCGCTTCCCCATCTCGCACATACCTGTAGGCCAACTTCCGCAACTCTAGCTCATATCCCAGAACCAAGCTCCATGTAGGAGTGCGCCCGTCGCCGGATGTGAGACCAGCCACAGAGCTGCCGAGCACAAAGTTTGAGAGCTTCCGGAAGGCCTCGACCGAGGAATCCGGCAGGCAAGTTCTAGTGGAACGCCGCGGCTTGACAAAGTCCCACGCCAGGCCCAGCCGCCTATGCCGCAATCGTAGCGCCTCAGGATTGGTGGGAGGCACCCTCACGGACTTGCTTGGGGAATCCGCAATGTGGCTGTTGCCGGATCAATCACTGCATTGTACGCCTCTGTCTCGGCGTCTTCAAATGAAGTGACTTCCCGAAGGTCTTCAGCCACCGGAGCGCCGTCCTCAACCTGCTCGAGCTTTGCCGCTACCAGCGACTTGCTGGGAGCCTCTTCGTCCTTCAATAAGCCGCACTTGCATTCCACGGCCTTCATCATAGCTGCACAGTCAGTTGTCTGGACTAAGCGATGTTGAGTCCCCAGCTTCGAATCTTGCTTGTTCTTTTCTTGATATGTCAGCTGTGTACGAGCGGCTTCCCACACGCAAGAACTCTGCATTGGCTGTGGGGTCTAAGCCAAAATGTGACTTCAGCATGTCTCGCGCGCTGGCCTGGGTATTCTTCTACCAGCAAAAGTCGCAGGCAAGTGAAGCCTTTCTCGTAGATTTTCTTCTGCGCAGCAGCAGACACCCCAGCTTCTTCCATTGCAGGTCGGAAGACGGCATCTTGGCGGCCATGGCTCAAACGCACAAGGAGCAATACGCCCGCTGGAACTTTCCATGCCAGCCACCGGCTACGCCCGACCTGGAGATGCCAACGGGTGGCCTGATTCAATACAACCCCCAGAGGCAACATACATTTTTCTTAAAAAAAATCCTTTTTCCTTAAAAATACATCCTGCCCTCACAGGGGTGTATTTTCCCTGTAGATTGGCCCTGCTCAGCTACCATCCTGCTTTTTTAAAGGCGTGTGGAGCAGTTGGAGTTTTGAGCCAAATGTATTGACATGTATTTGATGTGTGAAAGCAGTGCGTAAGAGCATACACATAACATAAAACAATCACGGTGAAAAAACCATTGTGTAATTGTTACAATTTAAACTGGAAATTGTCCAAATCAGATTCGTTGCAACGTTTGCTCGTTGGAAATGTGACAAGTTCACGTGGAAAATCGGTTTCTAAGCCCTTGAAGGAACACAAAAAATTGTTCCCTCTCTGCAAAATTCCTGTTCAGCGCTCAGTCCTGTTGACAGCTAGTTTCAGCCGTCTGCGCAAGAGAATCTGCTTAAGCAGGAACCTCCTGCCCCATGTCACCCTCACAGTGCTGGGGTGACATGACATAGCTACACCGCGTAAGTGCTTCATCGCGTCCTCATCCACAAAACAACTTTGTTGCAAAGGGTTATGGGCAGTCAGTGAACATTCATCCAAACAATGTTCGAAATAATGATGTTTGGGGCGTAATTTGTACAGCAAAACGCAATCGCGCAGTGCAGCGCTAGAAAGGGTTGCGTATACACCTCAAGTGCAAGCGTCCCATTGCAACACTTTCTTTTAAGGGACCGTCTGTGTATCAAGGATTTTTTCCCAGACATCAAGGACTTTTTTAAATGTGAAAATGATATGATTTCTTTAGCTGTCACACCCTAGCTTAGATTCCTAGATGTTGCATATTGTGTCTTTGGCTGCCAGCTTGCTCTGTTGAAGAAGTTGCTGGCGTTTTTGGCCACATATGTTGTGTTCTTCTGTCTGATAGTGTGTGCATGTGTATTCCTGAACAATTGCACCCTTCGATCTTATTTTGGATTTGTTTTTCTACGCGCATGTGTAGTCCTTACCAAAGTACTTAAAATAGTAGACTCCAGGAATATCTCCAGTAATTAACTTTTACGGGGTTGCCATGAAGGACCACAAACTTAGGTAGCCTAGTACCAGGCGCTGTGCAAGTGCCTCGATCATAAGAAATAATAGAAGCGTAGAAGAGTTTCAAGCCATGTGCACATACCTTGATTATAAGAACCCGCAAACTTAAGAGAATAGGTACAGGTGCACAGTTACTTGCAATTTGCAATGATAACTGTTTGTATTCAGATCATGTTAACTTATCTGGTCTGATCTCTGTATCCAAATCCCTCGGACTTTGCAGCAGTCTTTGGCTCGCTGCTTGTCTGTCAAAACTACTTCCATGTCGCTGAGGCAGGTCAACCCACCAAAAGAAAACACTACTTGTTTTGTAGGGCTGCTCGGCGCCTGTGCTAGGCCTCAGAGATGGCGGCGCGGGTGGTATCTTTGACGCAGAGGCCGGGCAGCAGAATTTGACATCATCCTTCAGTCAGAAGCACGCCAACAGAATATAATCTGCTTGAATAATAAGATGAATCTAGGTTAATGTTAATAATAAGATGAATCTAGGTTAATGTTAAATAGAAGCGCTGCAAAAGTGCTCGCCTCGAAATGTTAGTTTGATAGTAAATTTGCTTGGCCAGCGCTGCGCAAGTGCTGACGCCCATTAAATTGCGCATTATGATTGGGTATCTTTTGCAACCGCGTGTGCTCCAGGACAAACTGCTGACACAGGTTGAGTAAGAAACGGTCTGGCAAAGTTAGGGTACAACGTGCAGAATTACAACTGTTTTTATTTAAAAACCCATCAGACCTTTGCTTGAAAGCAATGCCGGTTCCTTTGCCAGATGCAGATTCCATACCCTCAAGTGGGGAAGAATGCTCGCCAGAACTCCCAGATGTGGATGAGCCCCAAGAAGATCCTGAATTACCTGACGGTGTTTGCTGCAAAATGGGTTGCTTAGAAGCAATCCAGGAATCACCTCAAGCCTCCAAAGGCATCAAAGAACTTCAGATGCTTTTTGACACGACAGACTCTCAAGCTGAGCTAGATCAATTGAAGTATGATTGCTTGCGGCACTGGCAAAGTGCAGAGCATGGATGGAGGCGTTTCTGCATCTTTGGTCTGCCATGCTGCGTCCGCGCAGTGCAAGATCTCCTCAAGGTCTCCAGGAATGTTCAAGTGAAGTGATGCAAGCACCTCCAAGAGGGGAATCGTTTACCGCCAGCTGACCAGCGCAAGACCAAGACCAATACAAAATTGTCGCCACAAGTTGCTGCGGCGCATGCGCTTTTGGCCTGGCTGTGGAACAACGTTGCCGAGGTCTTGGTCGAGTCTTCTGACTACAAGGGGACCATGGATGTGAAGCACTATGATGTCAAAAAGGCAGAGGCCAAACTGCCCAAGTTGGACAAGTCGCTGCTCCAGCCCACACATGGCACGTCCGGATTTTTAAATCCGCCTGCTGGTGTTCAAGGCGTTCGGTGGTTAAGCCCAGGGACAACCCTGGTGGAGATGTACGACACTTGCGTTGCCTTCAATGACGAGCTAGATGATATTCCTGGATACAAAACCTTTTCCAGAGTATACCACTCTACCTGGCAGCATGTGTTAAAGGTGCGGCCAGAAGGAACACACTCGTTGCCTGGATTCAATCAAAATGTTGTGTGTGAGTTGTTTTTCATTCATAGATTTTTGAGCGATGAAAGTCATGAATTTTGAAAATCATCGCAGCGCATCGTGTGACCAGGAAGTGCGCTGAGTGCAGCAAGCTGAAGGAATTCAGGAAGCTTGCCACTAGCCCTCAAGATGTTGAGCGCGTCAACCAGGCCTATGCCCAGCATCTACGAAGCATGTTCCAGGATCGTGTTGCAGATGCCACCCTCTGCAAGAAAGCGCAGGAGACAGCCAGGGGCGAGATCAACTCAAAGGAGATTCTTGGCAGTGCAGAGTTTTAAACCAGATTTTGGCCTGTACCATATGTAGCTTTGAATTAGGCGCTGCACCTGCCTGCGTTGAGATTATGTATTACCCACGTGTGCATTGTATACCTGGCCATTGTTACTGAGGGGCCTTCTCAATATCTCCCTGGATGCCATGGACTTGAGCAAATTCAAAGTCCCTCGCTTGTTGTCTGCCAGCAAGCAGTTCCAAGCACGCTGGCGGCCTGAACTACACTTCCAATGCGCCCTGGTCGAGGGGATCGTTGAAGCGTATTGGATATCTGATGTTGACATCAGCAAAAACAGTGACCTTCAAAACACGATCCTTTATGCAACCTTGGAGCTTGCTGCGTCCCACTTCAAATCCAAAGGGCTTCAAATGCCAGATCGGCTAAGAGTTCATACAGACAATGCTACTTCTGAAGGGAAGAACCAGTGGATTATGAAAGCCCTCAGCACGATGGTGTCCCGTGACATTGTGGCCCAAGGGCTCATGACGATGTTCAGGGTGGGACACACCCACTTCAAGGTGGATCAGAGGTTCAGCGAAATCCGAACCCTACTGGCATCAGCCGATGAACTGCAAACGCCGCAAGCCTATCAGGACTTCCTGCTCAAGAACCTCAAACCTCGCGAAGGCCGCGCGCTGCATGTCGAAATCCTGTCGGCTGCTAGGGATTTCAAATCGTGGCTGGAGCCCATACCGATCAACGTGGCTTGATAGTACTCAGAAAGCATTTGACTGGCACTGGTTGGTTGTATTTGACTTGATAGGTATAATAGTAATATGCCCAACGTGCTTAAACTTTTGCGCCACAAGTAGTCTGGTACTGAGGTCACCGGCCATACCCAAACGAAGAACAAGAGCGAGCAAAACCAAGAGGCAATCCATTCCTTCGTTTTCTTGAAGAGAGGCGAGTTTGCAACCAGAGACTGGCTCGCATTTAAGCAGTGCGTTTTCCCGCTTGGGTCATTTTGCTACATTTTGTTGTCGCAAGCTTGTCTTGAAGCTTGCAAGCCTGCGACTAGCACTTTTAAGGTGTCCGGGCTGAGTCCTGGGAAGTCGATCCTTTGCCGAAGCAAGCCCGAGAGCCTGCCAGTGAACACGACATCATTCTCTGCTGCCAACATTACTTATCATCAGCAGATCTCTGCCAGGCTCCAATGACCTTTGCCCAGAGCTACATGTTCGACGCACTGCAGCCAGAACCTGAGAGCCTTGTCCCGCGAGTTCCTTTCTCAGCACGACAAAAAAAAAGAGTTTGGTAAAACAGCGCAAATCATCGGCCTGCCTCCATGGCTCCTGCATGATGCCACCGGCTACCTGCTAAAGCTGCTTCAAGACAATGAAGGTGGCCATGACTCGTCTTGGAAGCCTCCAAAGATGTCGTGGGGCTTTTATGGTGCGCCGCATGTGGAAGGCCCAGCAGTTGCAACCAGCTCCATTCCTAGCGCAGCTCTGCAATTTGCCAACCGAGACCCAGCTCGTGTGCGGGTCAAGATGATGGCCAAAAAAACGCTCAAGGCCCCAGCAGATTTTGCCAGAGGCGCTGTTGCTGAGACAGGCCCTCCTTTACCTGGCAGTGGTGACGAAGAGCCAGGCTTGCCGGATGCCAGCGACAACATGGCAGAAACCCCTGATCTACCTGATGCGCCATCTGTTGCTACTGAGGAGCTTGCAGCTGAAGGATCTGAGCTTGAATTGCCGGATGAACCGTCCAGGCCCCCACCGAGACTGAACCCTGGAGCTGGAGCGCCTTCTTGTGTGCGAGGCCGCAACGGAGCTCCAGCCGGAGTCTACAATTCTGAAGCTCATGAACCTGAAGCGCCAGTGATGAGAAGGCCCGCTGCCCTGAAGAGGCCAGCGGCTGCCCCAAAACCGGCCGGTCAAAAAAAGGCCTACAGACGTCTTTCCCAGTTGCCTTTCCCGGAAGGAGCTTTGGATGTGCTGCAGCAAATCAAAGAAGCTGGTCACAACAAGTGCCGCACCAGCGCTTATGGGTGCAACGAGTGTCGCCGCAAGGCTGGCTTGAAGCTCAATGACGATGAATCGGCTTGGATTTGGGATCCCTCACGACCGCGGTGGGGATCCTAGAAAAGCATTTGGCTTTGGACCATTTTGGACCAAAATTTTGGAAAGCGCTCTCACTGACCCTTGGTGATTTTGGCCAGAAAAACATTGCTGATCTTAGCAAGCTTCAGAGTCGTTAGAATGCTTAGCCACCTTCAAAGCTGCCTGAATTTGTCAGTGTCAGGCAGCTAGCCTGGTGGAAGTCAGGGCCCTCAGCATGCTTCCCAGATCCTTTTTGCCAATCAGCTCAATCTTTCCTTTAGGTCTGCCGCCTTCTACAGTGATCAGATTGAACTAACCGTGCAACCCTGACTGCAGCCTCAATCGTATGCCCCTTCCTATCTGCAATTGGATTTCAACAGAACGATTGAAGCTGGTGACACGGTGCTATTAAACCTGGAGGTTTGGAACACCCCGCGCCCCAAGGCTTTGCCTTCACTATGGGCCCTCAGTAGGCGGCTGCAAAAATGCGCTGTCCAGGGCCTAGGCCTCAGGTCATAATGTTCTGGCCTTTCTCATGGCGTCGCATAAAACTATACCAGATTTGCTAAATCATGCTAATACAGAAGCGCTGCGCAAGTGCTTCAGAATAAGACAATCTCGATGATTAAAAATTAGAACGCATGGGCCAAGGAAAACAGAACAGAACTGGGGAACAATTTAACAGCACCAAGTATTCCACCACAAACTAATAAGTATGACGGTTAGAATTGTATCTCCAATTTTTACTTTCCTGCGACCTTCCTCTCCCAAGACATTGCCTTCAGTGGTGGCTGCCAGAATGTGCTGCTCAGGGCCCGGGCCTCAAATCATAGTGTTTTGGTCCTTTCTTTTGAATCACAAAGAGTTAAATCTGTAAGACTGAGACTTGCTAAATTAGACTTGGTAATTTAAAAGCGCTGCGCAAGTGCTTCAACTTAGAAATAAAATTAAGACGGCCTCAATGATTGTAGCCTCCGGCCCGCTGCTTTATGGCCTTGCGGCGCATGTTCGCGCTTGTGTGGGAACCCGAAGGCAGATGTTATAGATCTGACTGACACTACTGATCTCGAGCCTCAACATTTAGATGTGTGGACATAAGGGGACATGAGGGGCATCTTGGAGCCATCTCGTCATTGCAAAAACAACCAAGACGACTCTTAAGGGTCTTTTTCTCCTTCAGTGGCTGATTGCACTTCGCAAAGGAAGACAGAAAACAAATGCTTAATAGCAGCCAATATTCCACAACAAGCGCGCAAATATGGTTAGAATTGTATTTCCATGCAGCTTCGTTTCTTTTGACCTTCCTCTGCCCGAGGCTTTGCCCTCATTGGTGGTTCTATGAACTTGCTGCCCATGGCCTGGGCCTCAAGTCATAGTGTCTTCTGTGTCTTGCGCCTTTCTTATTCAATCATAGATTTAATCTGACTCGCGTTGAAATAATCACGGTAATATAAAAGCGCTGCGCAAGTGCTTCAACCCAGAAATATGTAAGACGGCTTCCTTGAAAGTTCTGGCCCAAGCTGCAGTGACGTGATCTTCAACTTGGCCTGTCATCATTATGGCCTTGCAGCGCCTGGGCGCGTTTGTGTGGGAACCTGAAGGTTCAGATGTTATAGATCTGACTGACACTACTGATGTGGAGCCTCAAGACTTAGATGTGGACATGAAGGAGATCTTGGAGCCGCATCTTCCCATTGCCATTGTCATCGATCAAGATGACGGTGGCCAAGATTTCGCTGAGCTTTTTTCTCCGCCGAGGGTGTCTGTTCCATGCCGCCAACTGGGACTCAAAGCTGACATCTCCATTGACCTGGACACGGGCTTCAACCTGGACAATTTTGACTCCAGGAAACAAGTTCGTGATCTACTGGCCAATGTCAAGTTCATCATGATGTCACCGCCCTGCACTATGTTCAGCCGGATGCAGGTCTGCTTCCGGAACTTCGAGAAGCTTTCCCCTGAAGAGCTTGAGAAAAGATGGACCTCTGCAAATGCCTATGTGGACTGCAGCATGGACTATGCCAAAAGGCAAGTCCGCAAAGGCCAGTGGTTTGCCTATGAGCATCCCAAGTCTGCCTCAAGCTGGCAAAGGGATTCGGTAAAGGAAGTGGCTGGCATGGATGGCATTGTGAAAGTTGATTTCGACCAATGCTGCCTGGGCCTTGCGTCTCCGGTCGAGGGTCGGCCGATCAAAAAGCCGACCACTATAATGACCAATTCAGCAACCTTGGCTGCGTTGTTCAGTCCCCTCAAGTGCAGTTGCAGTGTGGCTCACCGCCACATTGAGGGGTCTGAGGGAGGGATTTCCCTTTCGAAGCACTGCCAGAAGTATCCCTGGCGCATGGCTTGCCTGTTGGCTGATGGTGTGGCTCAGACCTTGAGCAGGCCTTGAGTGCATACAATTCAAAGGCTGTCACAGCCTTTGGCGAAATTAGAAATTTGAGAGAATAGAATATTGAGTATTCTCCAAGGCTGGGAAAAGGAGCATGGAGTTGCAAGTCATGATTGCACCAACCTGATTTGTGAAGATCTTCGCATACAAATTTTTGTAGGCGAAGATCGGCGCGTTTCTACCGAAATGTGAAGATCTTACCAGCAAAACCCATGAATGTGAAGATCTTCGCATACAAATTTTTGTAGGCGATGATCTTCACAAACCACTCAAACAGCCCAAAGATCGGCGCGTTTCTACCGAAATGAGAAGATCTTCGCATACAAATTTTTGTAGGCGATGATCGTCACCTTTTGGAAATTTTGATTTGGAATTTTTGGGTTTTGAACTTTTGTTTTTTGGATTTTGGATTTTTTGGTCGGTAATATCTTGACCTGAGGTCAACTCTCTGCAACGTTGGCATCTAGGTCTGGGGCCTTGGAACTCAACTAAGGTTGGAATGAAAGACATTTTTGCTTTACCTGAAAGATGGTGGCTTCTCTGTCAATTTGTTGTTTCTACTGCCGCAGCACCCTTGGCTGAGTTGTATGTACCTGTGCTGAGTGCTGTGGCTCACCACCACATAGTGGCGGGATGGACATCAAGCCAGAGACAGATGCCAAAATGGAGGCCATGGCTCCTGTTGAAACTGAGACTGGTGCTCTGCGGCCACCTCCTGTCGCTGTGTCCTCGGTGGGCGTCAGCCCCGAGAACTTTGCCAGGGTTTGTCAGGAACACGTTGACAAATTGCTTGCCGAGTTTGGAGGGCCCACGCAATACCTGCAAGCAAGGTATGCCGGCCCGGAAGAAGTGAAGGGCTTTGCAGATCAACTTGATTTGGAGTTTCCACCGGACCCGGCTATTGCATATCATGCGGGCCCGCTTCCAACTGATCCAGACCGGCTGGTACCCTTGCGATTGAAAGATCTGGGTTTTGGGAGCCGCTGCTCGAGCAAACCTTTGCCGTTCAGGTTGACGGCCAAGCAGCTCATCGACGAGTACTTGACCAATAACTTTATCAGTCGCAGTGACTGGACTGCAAGGCTTTTGACGCAGCCAAACGAAGCTAAAGCGGCGCTGCACAAGTGCCGCATCGTATTTAATAGATCTTAGTATTAGATGATCAATACAAAACATGTTCATACGTTCTCTGTGTTTATTGTAGATTGTATAATGAGGTGGCACTGGTGCTGAAAAAGTACCGCTGAGCACATAAAAACAAAAGAGTTTCATAATTTCGAAATACCTAGATGTGCGCAATTGTACAAGGTGACCCCATCCTGCTGGTGGAGCGCCCTGATGCCTTTGACTACTTTTGGACGAACTATGTCAAGGGCGCAGCCCGTTCTGCGACCTTGCTGATGTTGGCTTCTGTGGTGATGGAGCAGGGCTGGGATTTGTCCATCCTGAATCCTGCTCTTCAAGCGTCCATGGTGACAATTTTTGCCAGGCATGAGCTGATGATTGCTGATTCGGAAGCGGTTGCGTTTGCCAACGCCCGCTTGAGTGCACGTGGCTCCATCCGCCGTGCTCATTGCACTTTGACCTGGCTAGGTGTCTTCCAGGCGCTGCAAAAGAGTGGGCTCTCGGCTCCAGAGGTTTTGAAGAGGTGGAACCAACAAGCCACTTCAGCATCTCAGGTGACTGGGATGAGAAGGGTGGCTCTGCTCAACTTGCTTGGCATGAGCGCAGAAATCGTTGACGCCCTGCTTGCCCATTTGAGCGCTCATGCTGGGTCCACTGCCTTCCAGGAGGATGCCTTTGCTAACAAAAGGCTTGTCATTGGAGCTGCCCCGAGAACCAGCTCAAAGGAGTGGAACCAACGCTTGTGTGTCACCTCGGAAGGCATGCTTATGATGATCCGGTTCATCAGCCACGCCCATGAGCGGAAGTTGCCTGGCGCACGCTGCAAATACGACAAGCCTTCCTTGGAAGAGGCCCTGAACATGTCACAGCTCTTGGTGAGCGCCTTGACAGAAGCCGCCCAGCAGTATCCCATTCACCAGGATGCTGCAAGCCAAGTGGTCCAAAGCTTCTTGGATGGCAACATGGCCTTGGAACTGGAGCTTCAGTCAGCATTGGCGGAAAGGTCTTCCAAGTGGACATGTTCAGACTTGCCCACCATTAAGAAGCTGATTTCAGAGCATGTGTCGGAGTCCCACGCGCACTTGCAAAAGCTTGGCAAGAACACGGCGGTGGAAGCTGCAGCCCTGGAAAGACAAGAGTTTGACTTGGTGATGCAAACTTTGGACCATGATCTTGATGTGTGGAAGGCGCACTTGACCCGAAGCAAGGATAGACAAGCCGCCGTGCATTTTCAACTCATGCAGCACCGGCAGAAGCGTCTTTCGGCCTCCAAGGAGCTGGCTGACAAGCAAATCGACCAAGTGACCGCCCTTATGCCTTTGGACACCGCTCAGGAGACCTTCAAGCTTGTGGAAACCAAGGTGAAGCAGATCTGCCAAGTTCAACAACTCAGCGATCCCAATCAGATCCAAACACTGGTGGTGCTGAATTGGGCGGCTCCATGCTTGTTCACGGCTGAGCATCAGAGGCTGCACTCTCAATTGGCTGGAGCCTTTGTCAACCACCCGGGACGCGAAGCTTTGGGAGCTTTGATTTCCCCTGTCTATTGCCGGACACGGGGGACAGCCCACAAGCAGGAGAAGATCTGCCATGATGCGCTGTCTCAAAGCAATTGCAATCTGGATGATCAATTTGTCCTGCCATTCAAGGGGAAGAATGATGAGAGGGAAAAAAGGACTGGTTTTCAACAACTCAGCAAACAATATGTTGGTCCAAACTTTCCAAATGTTCTGATTCAGGGCCGGGATATACAATTTTTATTGCAATTAAAATGTTGTGGAAAAGAATAAACAAGTCTTTTCATATAAAGGATCGGATTCACCCTTCTTCCAGGAATTTGATCCTGCCTGGCCGCTTGCTTTTGCCTGGAGATTGTGACGCTGGCAAGGCCACCTATCTGCGCTGGAGGAAATCGCCTGTCTTCGCACGCGGCCTGCTCGAGGAAAGTGAGCTGGTCCACACGAAGGACATGCTGATTGTGGAAGATCTTTCTGATGTGGCCCTGCCACACACCACCGATCCAAGCGCGCATATGAATCCACCTGAAAAGGCGCAACAGATTGGGCCTGCAGCTGGCAGGTCTTTGCTGAAGGCTTTTTTTGGCGGTGGCCAAAATGATGGAGATCGTAAGGCCCTCCTGGTCATTGATCTCACCCCTCACACTGGGGATCTGCTTCGGGCTTTCTTGTCGGAGCATTGCGCCCAAGCCTTCCCTGCACCGGCCTACTACTATGGTCTGACCGTGGACGAGAGTCACGCTGATTGGCTGCGTGCTCTTGCTTCTGGCTTTTTGTCGGAGGGCTTCCTCAAAGTTGAAGGCTCAACGGATCTGCCATTGCCTCCTGGAACCGCCTTGCCACCTGCTGAGATGCCAGCTGAATTGATGCAGGCATCTCCTGAGCCTCCAAAGTTGAATTCCCTGGTCATCACAGACAAAATCAAGGTGGATGGATTGGCCACTGCCAAGGTCCCTGACAAGTTATTGGAGAGCTGGCATGACCATCAGCGGTTTGGGTCTGAATTCCGATCGTGGTTGGAAAAGGCCCGTGTGCCTGAGAACTTGATCGATGTCCCCCCAGAAAAGGCCGATGCCAAAGGTGCCAATGATAAGAAACGTACCATTGGAGGCCAAGGTGGAGGATCGACCAAAGCTGTCAAGGTAGAGGCCCCTTCCATCCAGATTGATGCGGCCAACAGCCCTGCTTGGAGCCCCAGTTTCATCGCTGCGGAGGAGCTTCCATCCCCACTTCATCATGAAGCAGCGCTTCCTGGACAAGGCCGCGGACGCCCTGGTGCTATGGTGTGCATTGTGATCGGTGAGAGGATTTTCCTCACAAATCGCACCACCGTGGACCAAGTGATTCCGCCTGGCACATGCTTGGCTGGTTTCTTCAAGGGTTGCTGGTGGCATGATGGTGGCGATGCTACCCGAACTACGAAAAAAAGCAAAACTCCAGGAACTCACAAGGAGGTGGATGAAAGAAAGGACATTCTTTTCACCTTGGAATCCTCCAATGATTTGATTCAGGTTGGACCTGGCTTGGTGACCCTGGGCCAATCAGTGGCTGAGAAGCAGTCGTCCATGCCCTCTGTCAAGGTGGCTTACCACACCATCAAAGAGAGTCCGACCGCTGCGAACCCTGCTTTCTTCAAGCTCACTCGAAACCATGACATGTACTTCCAGGTTGGCGACATCAAGATTGAAGATCTTTGTATGCAGTTTTCTTTTTTTTCGGGGGGGTCGATATTTAGAAGTAGTTTTTTCAACTTCAAGTGCTGCAGTGGGCTTTGTCGAAGAAACAAATTCCGGGCAGTCGAGGAAAAACATGGTGAGAAACAGAAAGTCCTACCGCTGCACCACTTGGCTGGATTGGTGCCTTGGCATGTGTGGGAAGGCCCGGCAAGCCACATCGTCTGGAATGTGAAATGGAGCGCGACCAAAGGGCTTTTGCCGGTGCGCCCCGTGGTGCTGAGCAAGTGTGAAATCAAGCTTCCTGCTGGGAAGGCGGTCGAGATCAGTGGTAACGCCAAGGGGAATTCTGAGGCGGCTGCATGAGATCAGCAGCTTGCAGAAGAAATCTGGGCAGCATGGTCACTGTGAGCAGTACACATGCCAATCTTTTGGAACATTGGCTGACGCCAGTGATCACGCGGAAGGGAAACATGATTGCAGCGCAGCCTGCTCCATGTAACTTTTGTTATTTAAGACAGCGCTGAATAAGTGCTGGAGCATAATCGCCTTGTCGCACTGCTTCTCACTGTTTCAGTTTCATTGGTACATTGGCTGCCTCTATTTGTCATCCGAGGCTGGGGACCTCGCTCTTCCGACCTTGGCTTCGTGACTTCGACTCAGTCAGGCTCCCAGAACAGCACTACTGCTTCAGTTGCATGTCAATCAAGTGTTCTTCAACCTCGTGCATATTGCGTTGACATTTGAGACAGTCGGTAATAATTAAGTATAAGTATATAGCCTGGCGCTGAAAAAGTTCCGACATAGATAGAGGCTTAATAGATTAATTTGATGCGGACAGCTGACGCGGACAGTTGGCTCAAATGCCGGGCTCATTGCCGGTCCCAAGCAACGCGCCACAGGCGCTGGGACCTGATGATGGAAGAAGAAGCGCGCCGCCAACGCAAATGAAGACAGCTCCAGCTCCATCGCCAGAAAACCCGGACCAGCCGTGCAAAAAGGCTAGGTCATCAGTGCCAGAACCTGTATGTCCCCCATCATGGTGCCGGAACCAGCAGCCACTTGAGGAGCCTACGGCAGCCGCTGCGCCAGCCGCTGAGCTTCGCCCGCCGGCGGCGGCCAAGGCGCAAGCTGCCCCTTTGACGCCAGCTGGCTTCAAAGTTGTCCCGGCTCGCTTTGAAGTCAGGGTGAGAGCACCAGAGCCTGGCCCGCCTGCTCCAAAAAGCGACTACAAGGGTGGCCACAAACAATCGCCAAGCCAGGAAGTTCGAGAAGCCTGGCGCGCGAAGATGCAGAAGTTGCAGTCAGAGTGCAACTCCAAGATGGAGGTCATGAAGGTGGAGTGCGCCAAGAAGATAGAGTTGGTGACGCAACAAGCTGCCGCCGATAGAGAGTTGGTGACGCAACAAGCTGCCGCCGATGTCAAGGCAGCAAAAGAAGGGAAAAACAAAGTTGTCATCGTCGCTCGGGAGCGACTTGAAGCTGCAGACCGGGAAAAGAGGCTGGTGACTGAACGCGCGCAGGCGCAAGTTGACCTCGCCAAAAAGGAGATTGCCGAGCTGCAGGAACAGTCGGTCAGGGACCAGGCATCCATCAAGCAGCTGATGCAGGACAAGGAGAGACTCGAACTGCAGGTGCAGTCCTATGCTACTTCATATTCCGAGCTGCATCGCAAGCTGGCGCAGGACTGGCAGTTAATTCTGCCCAATTGTGATTTGCTCTTCATCCACATCACTTCTATAGTAAAAAAGTAAGTCTTGGAATCCTGGTTGAGTTTTCCGTTTGCTCCAGGAAAGAGAAGTGTCCCGCGCGTTGCAAGAGTTCATCGAGGCAAGTTGCCTTGATCAATTGGCCTTCACGTTTTGTTCAATTTTGATCACTGAGCCCCGCCTGCCAGAAGAGCCGAGCTGAAACCTGGCAGACCGCTGCGCAGGAGGGCTTGAGTCATTCACATCCAAACAAGCGACATGCGTCCATGGCTTTGCTGTCTGAATCTGGTGACAGCCAGGAACAACCTGGGCCAGTGGCTGGATCCTCAAGTCGAGGCCTCTTGAAATCTCTTTGTGCCCCATGAGTCAGAAGTGATCTCTTCCCTGCGGCAGGTTGATCTGGGGCCGGGTGAGGCGCGCTTTCAACTTTTCCGAGCGAATGAGAAAAGATCTTTTTGCGAGAGCTCTTTCTCTTGAAGCCCAATGTTCCTTTCAGTCGGGTTTTCATTCATTCTCTGTCTGGGCTGAGGCTGGAAAGTGACTAGCTTAACGTTTCACTTCGACTGCAACTGCAAAAGTGCGCTGCAACTGCTTTGCAATAACTCAAAGGCGCTGAATAAGTGCCTCAATAAAATGATTGTATGTGAGTAACCATGTACCTCCAAGGTTACTCCCATACAATCAACTACATGTATTCCCATGATGGAAACATGAAAACTATAGAATCGTAGATAGCACCTATCCGGAAAGGATCTTTTGAGATATACAAATATTTAAGCAAATCCCCTTGGGCGGTTTTCCAGTACCTATGCATTTAAAGTTAGTTTACCTATTTACTTAGTTGTGGAGGCACCCACACAGCACCTTTAATAAGCTTCCTCTTGGGCACTTGCGCAGCGCCCAAGAAGATTATGAAACTGGGGATGTGCCTGGAGGTCCTCTTTCATTCACTTATGATGATATAAACCAATGCACCTGCGTCGTATACAGACCAATGAAATTATATGCAAACCAGAACCGTGAAGAAACAAAACTTACGCTCCAAAAAGCACAGCAACTGAGCAAGTTGGCGGCCAAAGACACAATATGCAACATCTAGGGTGTAGCACGGCACAGCTCAAAAAATCACATCGCATCCAAACCACATAGTTAAAAGATCCTTTATGTCTTGGAAAAAATCCCTAATACACAGAACTTGTCTTTTTTGTTTCATGCTCACTGAGCCGGGGAGTGCCTCCCTTGTGCCAGATAGAGAGGCACATCGACATCGAAAAACACATAACTGCCGTCGCCTGAGCTCTGTAGGTCTCTTCATCAGGTCGTTCCTCTGGCATTGAATCTGCCTGAACAAGTCGCTGATTGGAAAGAGGCTTGACCATATGGCAATGAAACGACCAAGGGTTTCCTTGTGGAGAAACAAACATCAGATATTTGCTCCTTGACCAAACCAAGCCACTACGGCCAAGCAAATGTGGCACACGTATCCAAATAGAACACGTGTTCTTGCAGCCTTGATGGTGGACTGCAATGAAGCGTACTGGGTTGAAGTATATCCCAAAGTGCTCTCGGTAAGTGGTTTGATGCTCAATTCAAGTCGATGCTGCTTTGCCCACTCTCGCGCTAATGTTGTCACCCTGCGCAAAACCAAATCGTTTGATGCACCTGCAGGTAGGCGAACGAACAAACCTGTGCAGGTCTCCTGCAGGTATAGGTAATGAAATCCAGAGCTGGCTGACTGACATTAAACTTGACTGATTGAACATCTACATTTCAATCCCAACGCCTGTCTTGAGCAAGTCGACCAAGCAGCTGCCGCAAACATCTCTGAGTATGCCCAGGTGCAAAATGCGCATACCTCAAATCAAACAAAAAGACGTTCACGCACATAGGCAGGATCACAAGACATCCAGGAGCTTGGCGTCAAAAAAGCAAAGTCCATAAATTGACAAGTGAGCTGCAATCCCATAGCTGCCTGCCCTTGCTGAAGCCAGCAATTTTCTGCCACGGGCTAGATCCAGGGTCTGTTGATTTGCACAAGGTCGTTCTCCAAAACGCATCAGGCTCAAAGTTTGCGTAGTTGAGCGCTGCGGCGTTTTTGCTGGCAAAGCGCCAGTCGCAAATGAACGTATGCCTGTATGACCTCGTGGCTTCCTTGGCAAGATGAAGTCCAACCACTGGAGTGAAATGCATGGGAACACACACACATATATATATATATGTTTAAACCCTGATCCCAAAAAATTGAAGCAAAGGGTGAGAATCGCGAGAAGCAGCTGGAGCCTCTTGGTCACCCTTCCAGTATGCAAAGTGGGCTTTCCACCTGATTCCACCAACTTCTGCTATAGGCTGGTGTGCTCTCTGACCTTCTGGTGAATCTGGTGGAAACGGTCTGCCTGTGTGATCTGCAACAGGAACGACTCCTTCTGCGCAGGCCCGCAAATCCCAGGACAGCACATCCAAAATGGTGTGCCGTGTGGCCCCCGACATGCTTCTAGTTGTCAACCCCACCACGCATTTGCGTGTGATCCAGCTCCCTTCACTGGTGAAAGGTGTGCTCCATGAGAGAAATGTGCCTGTTTCCCCTTTCCATTTTGGCACTGCGTCCTCATGGAACAAAAGCGGCAACGTGTATTTGAGAGTCTCTAATCCTCCCAAACTGTCAGTGAATGCCTTGTTTTCTCTTTTCCACCATTCAAACACACTTTCTGGCCCATCGTTGAAGAAGCACCTCTTGCAGACTTCAGGTCCCTGTGCGAAGATCTCGTGGATCATCATTGAAGGCAAAATAAATGCCACGTCCACTTCACGAGTCACTTCATCCAGGTCGTGAAAAACAAGAGGGGTCTTCACCACGTATGGCTTGAACGGCAACTTGATCTTTGCATCCAGTGTCAGCTAAAGGCAAAAGACATTGCGTGAGCCGATGCAAAAATACACCCAAACAAACGCCAACCAGTTGAAAATCATTGGGCAAATCGGTCAAGCATCCACCGGAACAAATCTCTTTCTTGCTTGGATTTTGCAAACTGCTTGATGGTGTTCCCTTTCGCGCCATCGGTTGCAAAGGCTGCTGCTATCTGCATGGACTTGGTCACAGAAAGGCCCTCAGCTCCACAGAACTTCACCAGAGCATCCAGCAAGCATCACATGTACACTACACTGAACCTGGAGTAAATAGTCCCCACTCCCAACCTCCTCTGCCAAGAAGAGGCAGCCCTTGCTGTCAAAGTCCTCCACTTGCCTGGGAAAAGTGGGTGCTTGGTGAGTAGCAGCGCGTGCTTGTTTTTTGGCTGTTGTCATCTGAGGGTGAAGCATCTTTTTGCATCTCTTTGGACAAGGTGTTGATGAAGAATCACTGGCACCCCCAAAAACAGAACGCGATCCCCTTGCAGCCAAAAAACGCCAGACACTCACACCAGCCAACGTTGCTGTTCTCGCGCTTGGGAGCAGTGGAACACACAGGAAGACAGAGTGATGTACCACGGTGATCTGAGCATTAGGCGTGGGCAAGCCTGGAATGTTTGAGCTTGAAGTACCTCCAACAAAAATGAGTGGTGTCCTCTGCTGTGCGAAAATTAAAGTCTGGAAAGCGCGGTCAAGAAACACATGAGTCGCATACCCACTCTCCTTTTCAGATCCAAGGCATCGCGCGTGTGA